GAAAGCAGCTCGAGCTTTTCGGATCCGTGCTGAGATTTCATCGCCAATCAGTCCGTTGGTGCTAATACAACTTCCCAAATAGGTGAAGTGGTCAACATGTTCTATCACTTCACTCCCTATCACTAAGTTAGGAGTTGACGTAGTCCAGTCCTGTAGCAGCATCTTACATTTTGCAGGGGCGAATCGCATGCCAAACATACGAAGATTGCTGCTCAAGGTGTTCAGAAGACTCTGCATTTTGTCAGCATCCTCCCCTAACAGGACTATGTCATCTGCATATTCTAAGTCCATAAGATTATTCCCTGGTAACAAGTCGATTCCTAAGTCATTACGTTCAGTTAAGGATACTTCCATTAGCATATCTATGATGAAGTTAAACAGAAATGGGGAAAGTGGACATCCCTGTCGGACACCACTGGTTGTTACCAATTCAGATGACAATTCCCCATAAGCCCTTACACGACTACGTGAGTTTGAATAGAGTGCCTTGATTAGTGCAATGTACTTTCTTGGCACTCCCTTCACAGTCAGACATTGCCATAGTACCTTTCGATCCACGGAGTCGAAGGCCGCCTTCAAGTCAAGAAATATGACAATTGTTGGACGCCGAAAAGTGTGTCTATGTTCTAGAATCTGTCGAAGAGTGAAGATATGATCTATGCACCCTCTACCTGGTCTAAAGCCTGCTTGATTTTCCCTTGTCTGTTCCTCCCGAGTTCTGCTTAGTCTATGCATGATTACTGAGCCTAGGATTTTAGAGACTATGTTCGTTAGGCTGATCCCCCTATGATTATCACACGAGGACTTGTTTCCCTTCTTGAATATCGGTATAATAAGTGACTTACCCCAGTCTGATGGCACTGTCTCTGATTCCCAGACTTTGCCTAGTACCTCAGTTAATCTACAAACTAGTATGTCACCCCCATATTTAAACACCTCCGGAATAATTCCGTCGGGTCCTGCCGCTTTGCCTCGTTTCAAATTACTGATAGCTTTTGTGACCTCACTTACAGACGGCGGACCAGTGTCTATATCCCATTCGGGTGTGTTCTGGATGGCGGGGAGGTTCAGTGTGGCTGTAGGCAAGTTAAATTGTTCCTCAAAGTGTTCTTTCCAGCGTTCAAGGCGTCTATCCTGAGAGCTAATTAAGGAGCCATTTTTCTCAGAAATAGTCTCACTTATGATTTGCCTTCTCCCTCCCGTTCCCCTGATGAGTCTAAAGAGTTGCCTAGTGTTGCCTATCGCCGATGCTTTTTCCATCTCTTTCGCCTTTGTCACCCACCACTGTTCACGGTCCTTGCGGAGACTTTTAGTAAGTTTCCTTTTGTGCAGCTTTCGCTCCTCATTGAATTCGGAGCTCGCCGGAATAAGTCTTCTAGCATCTATCAGTTCGGATGAGGCAGTCGAAATCCAGTGGTTTTTACTCACCTTTGGATTTGCCTTATTCACAGCTTTTACAGCTGTATCTATAGCTGACTGAATATTCTTCCAGGCTTCTCCAGGGTGAGCACAGCTGTCGAATTCAGATATGCGTTTAGCTAGTTCTTCCTCAAATAGGGATTTAGTTTCCTGATCGAGCTGGGGACGTGATGGTTTTACCGCCAGCTGTTTCCTACGTCCGTTCAGTCGTAAGCACACACGAGCCCGGACCAGTGCGTGATCGGTATCTACACACGTGTTCCAGAAGGAGCGACAATCTCCTACCGACCCACGCCAACGATAGCTTATTGCTATGTGGTCTATTTGTGTCCAGCGTTGGTTTGATGATGGGGGTCGCCAGGTTAAACAGTGTCTCTCCTTGTGTTTAAAGTTAGTGCTTACAAGAAACAAATGATTATCTGAACAGAACTGTAGGAGACGGTCACCGTTGTCGGTTCGCTGGCACGGAACTCCATAGGTGCCACCGACATCCTTCTCAGATTGACACAATTTCCCTACTTGAGCGTTAAAGTCACCAGCTAGAACGACTATATCTGAGCGTTTAGCCTTTCTCACCAAACTAGACAGCTTTTGGTAGAACTCATCCTTCGTTTCATCCGAACTGCAGTCAGTGGGGGCGTAGGCGGAGATTACGAAAAGGCATCGGCGAGTAGTGCAGTCCTTTCTCCTTCTTACTGATCCGTTCAGACGGACAGCACACATTCGGCTATCTACCGGGATCCAGTCAAGCAATGTCTTTTCTGCCCTAGTACTCAGAGCTATCCCTACGCCAGCTAATCCTCGTGAACTAGCTGTGGCATCTCCTGACACCCTCAAGGTGAATTTTGAAGATTCATCCTGTTGGCCAGGTGGGGTTAGGTGAATAACCACACTTGGGTCTTGTATGCGTGTTTCTGAAACACAACATACATCAATGGCTCGAGATGCCAGGGTCTTAGCTAGTGATGCTTGTTGTCCTATTTGGCAAAGTGTCCTAACATTAAATGCTCCTATATGAAATTGGTGGCGTGGCTTTAGGAGACTATCGGTGGTGGTTTTTTGGCTTCCGTCGTTTTTAGTGGACACAGAGTGAAGAGGGAGTGAGGAGCCATCAAGTAGAGGAGTTGCATCAGTGGGAGGAAGGCAAGGTAATAGAGATGAAGATGAAGACAAAGATAAGTGAGGATTAGAGAGGTTTTGTGTGCATTTCGGATTGTGAGGGCGTTTGTTACTTCCCGGCTGCCCACACCGTGGAAGTTGGTTGCGTGACCGCAGAGCCCAGGGGACAACTGCTTGAGGCCGGTCACACGCGGCCTGTTTTTGTTTGTTCTTTTTTGTTTGGTGTGCCTCAGTAGCATACTTATCACTCCTGCCCTGTGACACGGCAGCAGGAAGCGCGGTCGTTGTTAATCCGGGCCACGGCCGATCCGGCATGAAATTTTGTGAATTTGTTTGAATCATGGTATTGGATGGGGTAGCTGCTTTTTGTTTAACCGCTATCCAAACAACCTGCCTGGCATGGTAGAACCTCAAGAGACATAAGTCTCAGCCAGTATAGCTTGATTAGGTCATTGCGGTGTTCAAGCCCGACCACCACGTCAAAGTAGCAGCTTTCGGTCGGGGGATTCCAAGTCACTTTTGAGTTGGGAAATGAACAGGATGACTTAACTGTGGTAGATTGTCAAATCCGAGGAAAACAGAACTGTGGTTTAGATACACTAACAATTACAGAAAACCGACACACATTCTAATAAATACTTAGACTTTAGTTCATTCAATTCAGAATCGGTAAAGGTATGTTTAATTAAATGTCTATACAATCAGTCCAGAAGTTTAACTAGCAAATCAGAAGGTTTAAATAATAAAATCAAACAAGTAAAGAATATATTACTGGTGGAGGTCAACAGTAGTCAGCATCAAAAATAAGATCCGGATTTTCAACTCTAATGTGAAGTCAGTGCTACTATACGGATGGATCAGAGACTTGGCGAGTCATAAAGAGCATCTCACACAAACTTCAGACCTTCATTAACAGTTGCCTTCGCTCAGTACTCAAGATCAGATGGCCGGTCAGAAAAGATCAGCAACAGGGATCTCTGGCAATGAGCGAACCAACCAGGAACCGATTGTGGAACAAATAGGCAGGAAGAAATGGGGTAGGTGGATTGGCCATACTCTGGGGAAACCATCAAGTGACATCACTAGACAAGCCATCACTCGAGTGGCACCCGAAAGGGAAGCGGAGAGTTGGTCGTCAGTGGAAGGGTGACTTGAGGGAGGTCATGTGAAGAGGAGATGAAAGCATGTGGGCAGACTTGGAGCGGGATGAAAAAATTGGCGGAAAACAGGAGGCAATGGAGACGCGCAGCTGAAGCCCTATGTTCCTCTAGGAATTAAAGGATAAAATAATAGTAATAATAATAACTACCCATCAGATTTTATTCAAAAATGTAGAAAGACCCATAAATAAAATAACAGTAGTAATATGAATAATGCGAAACTTAAATCCTATATCGTACTGTCATATAAAGAAGGAACATTAGAATCTCTACGTAGGATTTCTAGGGGTGGCGTTTTAGCAAATCAATTCACATAGAAATAAACTCTGTCAGCCTAAGGACCCGATAGTACCAATTAAGAAAAATAATATCATTTATCCAAATACCATGTAATGACTGTGAGGTCAATTACATAGGTCAGTCAAACTAGTAGATCAGGGTCAATTAGGTTGTCGGAAGATAGGAATTTAACTAGACCTAGAATGATTGACCCTGTTCAGTTAAATAACCTAGAGAAAGCAGAGCTTAGCCATTGCACTGCATTTCACTTACATTTAATCACAAAATAGGTTGTGTGGGACAGGGTGAGAGTATTAAGAAGTAACACAGTTAGGTGGACACAGAGTTTGGTCCCTGAAGCTTAGTTTATCAACTGAACACGGCACATCTGCAATCGAAATCACCCAACCCCTATATCTAATGTATAGAGAACTGCAATAAACAACGAAAGGGATATATATATATATATATATATATATATATATATATATATAGCTCAGTGGTTACGTCTCTGACTGCAGCATTGGGTGACGCGGGTTCCAATTTCAAAAGGGAGATGGCTTCCTTCAAGGTTACAGATACATCTTGCTGACTAGTGAGTGCCAACTAGCACGAAACCTAGGTCCACGGCTTCCTGTCGATTGACCCCAACCATCTAATATCATGAAATCAATGTGCATGGTGATGGCGAGCCACCTAGAATGTTGGCCACGTTACAAACCTGACTGACAGAATTCAGTCTGCATCAAAGAAAGGACTAGACACATCATACTAGTCACTGGTGTCCAGTCAAAACATCATCCAGTTATTAATACTGAATCACTGTGTGTTTTTGATTAAATAATGATATGGAATTATATTCCACCACAGTACTGAAATTCTAAAACTACATAATGTCTGCTGGTTTAACTTCAATGTATCGACGAAGCGTTACATACTAAGTAAGAACTGACAGTGTTCACATTATCGAGTATTTAATCCCAAAAATAATCTAATGTTTCTTCTAATGCTTTTTGTTTTTAGGCTCCAGATGAACGTATGAAAATTGCCACCCTGTTAGCTGAGAAAAAGTAAGTTTTGAAATGAAATTTACTGTACAATAATAATAATTATTATTTATAGTAGTGCCAAGGATAATTCATGGATGTATGAGAAACCAAAAGAGAATCCAGAAGTATTTCTGTTAGGCAAACAGGTGAAAAGTTTAGATGAAATTCAAGAAATTAGTAAAGGTAGGTTTGAAAAAAAATAATAAAGAATCATAATATGTGTACATCTCCTCATGAGTTGTTGTCTCTTAATTTGTGCGGGTGACCCTTTGCGTATTGCATCATTTCTGTGTCCACAGGACTGCTTGCGTCTCATGACGTCAGCGTGCTTTTGAACATGGTGAAGGTCAGCACTTTTTGAGTGTAGTCATCTTGAAACACTGGCTTCGATGGCTTGGATATATGCTACGAATCTCATCTCAGAGGCTTCTGTACCGGTCGATCGCTGTTCACTTACCCTAGGACTGGATAGAAAAAAGGGGAAGAGATGTTCAGCCCATGTAGTGGCATTGTGGGATAAAGGATATTTGTGTTAAGTTAGCATACGTTAGAGTACATCACGAGTCCCTGGTTCTGTAGCTCGAGAGATAGTCCGAATCACTGACTCCAAACGTGATCAGATATGGTCAAGAATCACTGTCATTTGCGAACATGCTGCAGTTTTCTGCTTTCTTTCCTTTCTGAAAGTTAAATGAAGTTATGAGTGATCGATTATCTTCACATTTCTGCTTGCTTGTTTGCCTTTTCTTCAACGGTGTGGGCTGCCGGGAAGTAACGAACGTTCACACACTTCCAAAAACACAAAAAGCCCTCCTGATCATCATCATCATCCTTTATCTCTGTCACCTTCATCAGCTTACTTCCCTACTACCGTTAGTACTATTCTGAAGGCTAGTCAGTCATTTTCATTTAATTCTGTGACTACAAATGACGAAGAGAGCTAGGAAAGCATCCCCGACAGCTTCTTAAAGCCATGCCGCCAACTTCATATAGGAGCATTTAACGTCGGGACCCTCCAACAAATCGGACGGCAGGCATTGCCAGCCAGAGCTCTGGAATCTCGAGCCATAGATGGATGTTGTGTCTTGAAGATATGCATACAGGACCCGAATGTGGTTATTCACTTAACCCCACCCAGGCAACAAGGTGAATCTGCGAAATTCATTTTAGCTAGTTCGCGTGGACTCACAGGTGTAGGGATAGCATTGAGTATTAGGGCAGGAAAATCCCTCCTCAACTGGATTCCAGTAGATAGTCGTGTGTATGTCCAGTGCATCTGAACGGGTCTATTAGAAGAAGGATGGATGGCGTTACCCGTCGTTGTCTTTTCATAGTCTCCGCTTGGCTTTTGAATGACGTCCATCACTCATTCCCTCCCACATGTTCTTTACACATTGTTGATTTATTACTGTTTTGTGGTGCTCATCATGTACAAAGTTTCTGTTTTTAATAATAAATAATAATAATATTTCTTCATAAAAATAATTATTAGATTATGAAGAGTCACCAGCTCAACGATTGGCTAGATTCGATATGGAGGCGAAATTCCGTGAAGATCCTTTAACAATTATGAAGTAAGCGTGAATTTTAGTGTCTCCCTGATTTTCATTCTCTCTTTTCTCTTTAAATCAAATAGACAGAGAGAGGCAGAAAAACGCATGGAATTGTTACATAACACAGCTAAGGTGAAAAAGTTAAGGAGACTTGTAAGTTGTTTGTTGTCTGTTTTCTCAATGCTTTGTTTTCCATTTCTTTCTTTTCACACAATCTTCTCCATATAAGCCTCGGACACCCCTATTCTCATCTGTCCATCACCTATTCATCTTCCACTCGAAAGCTTGTCTGCATGGCTCAGTGTGCGTCCAGTTCATCTCCATTTCCTTTGGCGTATTTTTTGTGGGGATAAGGTCTTAGTTGGTTTATTGCTTCATTTCCTTGTTGTTTATCCTTTCTGAACGGCCATCTGGTCTTCATTGTGATACATGGTAGTGATGTATGTGTGTGTGTCTGTCTGTTTTCGACATAGAACTTTGCACTGATGTGCACCAGTTCAAGTCGCCACACTCCCTCCTTGCAGCACACAAACTAAGAGAAGAAAGTAGAAGAAATGCAAAATAGAGACAGTAAACAGAGGTGTGAGACGAAGGAATAGTAATAAAGAAGAACGATATAGTTTCATTGGAAATCATAAGTCACAAGGAGTGGATGCATCTTCGCCATTGAGAACGCTTTTGAACCATATCACCAATTGGTATTTACCGTCCCGAGGACCCCAGCCAGGAAGTCTACACCTTCCTACGTGGCTGGCTTAAACTAACTGTTGTGGATTTCATTGACTGGTGCTATGTTTTGGTTTGACCACCGCTAGCTCTTTTCCAGCCTGACCCTATATCAGCTAACATTGCCTGTCGGGCGAGGAAGGTGATGACTAGAGATGCGTGCGTAACACATGTCCTAACCATCTCACTCGATGTAGCTTCACAGCCTTGTCGATTGATTTCTCCTCCCACCTACCTAGCACTCACCGCCTAACCTTAATATTGCTCACTTTATTATACCACTTCACACGAGAGATAGAACGCAGGCGCCTATGATCGAAGACAGCTAATCTTTTCATGTCTTCCACTCTCAATGGCCACGTCTCAGCCATAAAGGAGGACGGGCGGACTGATGAGCAGTACACTCGCACTTTGGTCGATAGTCGAATATCACTTCTACTAAGCCAGAGACGGCGTAAACTGGCATATGCGAAACTAGCCCTCTGTATCCGTGCTGAGATTTCGTCAGTGATCAACCCACTGGCAATGGTTGATTTAACTTCCCGATTAAGTGAAGCGGTCAACATGCTCTACCACTTCACTCCCTACTTTTACGCTAGCAGTGAGTCAATGTAGTTCAGTCCTGTAGTCTCATCATCTTACATTTGGCGGGAGCGAATCGCATGCCAAACATTCGCAGATTGCAGCTCAAGGTGTTTAGGAGACTCTGTTCTGTTTTGTCAGCCTCCTCGCCTAGAAGTACTATATCGTCTGCATATTCTGAGTCGACGAGATTATTCCCTGGTGACAAGTCTATCTCTGAGTCGCTGAAGTGAGTTAGAGTTAAGTCCACTAGTACATCTATAATGAAATTGAATAGAAATGGTGATAATGGGCATCCCTGACGGACACCACTAGTCGTCACGACTTCAGATGAAAACTCTCCATAAGCCCCCACCTGGCTGCTTGAGTTCGAGTAGAGTGCCTTAATTAGTGTTTGTTGGTGATATTGTGCAGCAGGCTATTGAACACGTATTTGGCGATGCATAAACCAAGTGTCTGAGTTATAGGGATGCACTGACTAACTTAACATTAGTGTTGAAGATCCAAATCCTCCTCATGCATGTTGCGATTGATTTCCCCACTGATTTCAGTTTCCTGAGTGTCTCTCTTGCTTTTGGAATCCAGAATATACAGATGATATACTCCTGCCTCCTAGGTGAAGACTCTGACAAAATGCAGTCTTCTGAATACCTTGAACAGAAATCTTCGAGTGTTTGATATGGGATTCGTTCCTGTTAGATGTAAGGTGATGCTGAAGGACTCTACTGGATTGGGTCTCCTAGCTTCAAGATAAAGAATGAAGTAGTGGCTGGTGTTGATCACTTCACTAATTTAGAAAGTTGCATCAGCCATAATGAATTAATTGCTGACAAAATCTCAGGGCGGATACACAGTACTCGTGTAGTTTTGCCAACTTACGGCGTAGACGTGATACCTGGCTATCGATAAAAGGCCATACGTACTTCTCAGCAGTTCGATCCGTCTTCTTTTATGGCTGACTGTTAGACATAGCCATCCAAAGTGGAAGATACGAAAAGGCTAGCTAACTGTCTTTGATCATAGGTGCCTGCGTTCTATCTCCCATGTTAAGTGGTGGTATAATAGGGTGAACAATATTGAGGTTATGCATCAGTCGAGTGATAAGTAAAGAGGGGAAATCAATCGATGAGGCTGTGAAATTACATCGACTGAGATGGTTAGGACATGTGTTACGCACGCATCCCTAGTCATCCCCTTCCTCGACCAAAGGGCAATGTTAGCTGACATACGGTCAGGCTGGAAAAGAGCTAGCGGTGGTCAAACTAGAACGTGACTTCGTCGGTCAATGAAATCCACCTTATTATACCACTTCACAGGGGAGATAGAGCTCAGGCAGCTATGATGAAAGACAGCTAATCTTTTCATGTCTTCCACTCTCAATGGCCAGGTCTCAGGTGTTCAATACCAATGTTAAGTCAATCTATTCTTCGATGTGAAACTTTGATCAGAAATTTAGTGCATCATTTGAAGCATTTTAAACATTCTTCAGACTTTTGTCAACAGCTGCCTTTGAGATTTACATACCGAAGATGAGATGGGCAGACACGAATTAACAACCAGCAAATCTGGTACCGAATCAAATAAGAACCTATTTCTCAACAAAAATGGGGAAGGAGACTGTCGAATGACATTACGCGCCATGTCCTCGATTAGAACCCGAGTGGAAAAAGACAAATCGGGAGGAGATAGTGTGAAGAGGTGAAAACTTATGATCTGTCGTAGGGTCAGCCAAAAACGACTGCAGAGAACTGGATGAACTCAAGCGAATAATAATAAAACAGTGATATTTGGTAAGTGACTTAGCGTAAAACGGAATTTGTCAGAATTTCCTATGGTCAAGTAATAATAGCTCAAGGTATGGACCTTCTCTGAGCACATAAGTGTTGCTTTTTCAGGTGGATTCTAACGTCATCAGCTATTAGACGAACTCTCAAGTAAAATAATTAAGATTAACCTTCAGGTTATGGTAGATAACTTCTTAACAGAAGGCCCTTATTAATATTGACTTCATGCTGTCAGCATAATGGTGAGCTAAATTACTTTCGTTTTTCTCTTTCTTTTCTTTTTTTTTGTTTCTGCTTTTCAAATTAGTTAACAGAACAAAAATTACGTCAAGAGAAACAGAAAGGAATACGTAAACACTCGAAACACAAAAAACGCAAACATAAAAAACGTTCCAGAACCTCATCGAAATCAGATAATGAAAGTAGAAGTCGGAGTAAAAGCAGTAGCAGTTCAGATGATGAATTATTAAATAAATTTATTAAAATTATTCGTCAGTCAGATAAATTAGAAAATGAACAGACTTCTGGTTCATTGAAATCTGTTGGTGATGGCCAGCCTGCATGTCAAACACCACCATCACCACAATCACCGCCATCATCTAAACAATCATCCAGTTCCCATGGTAATCGTAGTCATCATCAGCATCCTAATCCTTCACGACGTGATCAGACTAGCTATTCATCTAGACAGCATACATATTCTTCGAAAAGATATGATCGTAATGAGGAATCAGATATATCGAGATCAAAATTACATAATAATAACAATAGTGATAAAAAGCCGGATCACTTCAAGTCGTCATCATCAACATCAGCAGGAGCAACAACATCCAGTCGATCAAAGTTATCAAAAGAAGAAATTGAAGCGAAACGTTTACAAATGATGCTTGATGCTAAAGAACACGAGAAAGAGCGTATCCATCGAGCCACAAAACACTATGAAAAAAAGAAAGTTGAAGAAGAAAATGAAATGGTGGCAAAATTTTCACATGGACCATCATTTATTGGCCACCTGAAAAATCGACATGTTGATTTAACTACAGTGGAAGAAAGTGTACATCGTAAAGCCAGTAGTCGTCAACGTGGAGATTTACATGATAATTTTTTAAAACGTTAAAGTTGTAAATTACTTTAAACTGTATATAAATTATTTATAATTGTATAGATGTTTTTTGTATAATTAAATCCTAATTAGTAAGTATTCACAACACTTTTTTTCTTTGAGTTTTTAGTAGCATGTACGACGACTTCAACAGAAAATCTCTCTTGTGTTTGATTCTCTTCCATCCCTTTCATCATCTTGTCCCCCCAATTCCAACAGTTTACTGTCTGCGATAACTAAGGTACTAGGCAGTGTCTGGGAATCAGAGGAAGTCCTGTCGGGTCGGTGTAAGTCATTGATTATCGTGATGTACAAGAAGGGAGACAAGTTTTCCTGTGATAATCACAGAGGGATTAGCTTGACTAATATAGTATCTAGAGTCCTAGGCTCAATAATTTTGCGAAGACTAAGTGGTGCTCGGGAGACACAAACACGAGAGAGCCAGGCAGGCTTTAGAACAAGAAGAGGGTGTATTGATAATATCTTCACCTTTCGATAGATTCTGGAGCATAGGCATATGTAAAAGCGTCCAACAATCGTCACATTTCTTGACCTGAAGGTGGCATTCCATTTTGTCTATCGATTGGTACTCTGGTGATATTTTGCTGTGAAACGAATGCCGAGAAAATACATTACACTGATCAAGGCACTATACTCGAACTTATGCAGCCAGTTGAATGCTTACCACGAGTTATCAGGGATGCCCATTATCGCCATTTCTATTCAATTTCATCATAGATGTACTAGTGGACTTAACTCTAACTCACTTCAGCGACTCAGAGTATGCAGACGATATAGTCCTTCTAGGCGAAGACGCTGACAAAATGCAGTCTTCTGAACTCCTTGAGCTGCAATCTACGAATGTTTGGCATGCGATTCGCTCCCTCAAATGTAAGATGATGAGACTACAGGACTGGACTACACTGGCTCCTAGTTCAGAAATAGAGAGTGAAGTGGTAGAGCACGTTGACTGTTTCACTTATTTGGGAAGTTGCATCAGCCTCAACAGGTTGATATCTGACGAAATCTCAGCACGGATACAGAGGGCTAGTTTTGCATATTCCAGTCTACACCGTCTCTGGCGTAGACGTGATATCCGGGTATCGATCAAAGGGCGGGTGTACTGCTCATCAGTCCGCTCCGTCTTCCTTTATGGCTGTGAGCGAGACCTGGCCATTGAGAGGGGAAGATGTGAAAAGATTAGCTGTCTTCGACCATAGGTGCCTGTGTTCTATCTCCTGTGTAAAGTGGTATAATAAGGTGAGCAATATTGAGGTTAGGCTTCGGTCGAGTGATAGGTAGGTGGGAAGGGAAATCAATCGAAGAGGCTGAGAAGCTACGTCGAGTGAGATGGTAAGGCATGGCCAGCCATCGCCTTCCTTGATGGGCAATGTTAGCTGACATAGGGTCAGGCTGGAAAAGAGTTAGTGGCGGTCAAACCAAAACATGGCTTTTTCAGTCAATGAAATCCACAACTGTTAGTTCAAGCCAGCCATGTAGAAAGGTGTAGACTTCTTGGCTGGTTGAGGTCCTCGGGACGGTAAAAACCAATGGTTGGAAACAATTGGTGATATGGCTCAAAGTGATCGTTCATAATGGCTGGTGCAGATGCATCCACTCCTTGTGATTTATGATTTTCAATGAAACTATACTGTTCTTCGTTAATACTATTCCTTTGTCTCACACCTCTGTTTACTGTCTCTATTATGCATTTCTTCTCTTGCTTTGTGTGCTACAAGGAGGGAGTGTGGCGACTTGAACTGGTGCACATATGTGCAAAGTTCTGTGTTGAAAACAGACAAAACTTCCAACAAGTTCTAAAAATTTGGCTTCATATGATCTCTTACATATCATCCTTGAATCCTCCCGTCCATTGCCTCTGCTAGATAGGTTCCATTCATTGCCTTCAATTGGTGTCATTCAAATAAACGAAAGTGTGAATTTAAAAAAAGCTGGCGCTTACAACGGGACTGTTAGACATTCTGGTGTCTCTGCCTAGGAGAGTTAGAAAACGCTGGTTTCAAACCTGCCAAATGGTGTACATAAATTGAGGAATCCCGATGGATCGAATGGTGTATGAAGCTGTTTTAGTCACTGGAAACCATGGTAACGTAGCTCCACTATCTTGTGGATCGGGATATAAGTCAAAAACTTAGGGAATGTTAGATTATTTTATTTTAAATATCACACAGCGATGCAGTATTAATAACTGGATGACGTTTCAAACATAATGTACTGCTCGTAATCATACTAGGAGGGTACTCACACAACTTGCCTGCTTCGTTCCGTTCAGATAACCACCTGCTGCGGTGTGGGCATGTGGACAATATCTCAGCTCTTAAAGAAACTATGAGATTGTGTGTGGCGCATCTCTTAGTGCCCGTAAGGTATGTAGTAATTTATTGTACTTGGAAATATTAATATACCGGGATGACGGAATTATAAGAATCTAAACAAAACCCAGAGAGGGCAGCAATCAGTAATTTGTATTTAGCGGAATTAGAATGCAATTCATATAAGAAACATATCAACAGTCAACAGTAAGTATTTAAACAATACAGAGATAGAAATTGTCAATCACCACATCCGCCACACCTCGAATATCTCCTCGCGTATTTATAACGATGTCTCGGTTTGCTTGCAAGTAGCTTCGAGCTAACTGATTCTGTGATATTATTTTCATCAGTATTATCTGGACTTATTTCTGAATTATCTACAAAATCAGGATTATTAGCGGAATCAATAATATTATAATTGGAACGACCTACTTCATTTATTGTCACTTTGTCCAGGTGTCCGTTATGAACTGAGTGATCTTTGATGTCTAATATCTTCACCACTCGATTTCCCATTTTTTGTAGTATAATTCCAACAGAAGGTCTGTAGTTATTATCTTTGTAATAATGTACATTAGAAGTAGTGGACATCAGATGCTTTTTGAGAATTCGAGATTTGAATAGTTTTGCAGGACTTTCACAAGAACTTGTATGCTCTGGATTCACCAGACGTAGTCTATGCATATGCAGTAATTCCTCAATTTTATTCAGTTGCTCTCTCATCTCATTCAGGTCTTTTCGTGCTTTCGACAGTTCACATTGCAACTTAGCTACCTCATTTTTGAATACAGTTGATACTTGCGTTGCTGAACTTGCAGTGGAGGTTTTCGTTGGATTAGCTTGAGTATTTTGAAAAGTTGAAAGACACATAGACTCCATTTTACTAGACAGCTTGGGAGAATTATAAGAATGTTGAGCAACATAAGTACTCGAACTCCTGCAAACCGTCTTGATGTGTCCAACTTTACCACATTTATAGCACTTAGCACTCCGAAAACGGCAAGTGCTTCGTAGATGTAACTTTCCACAGGATAAACACGGTTTAATGTTTTTGATCTCTCGCTGCATTCTGTTACCTGTGGATGGCAGTTTGGATTGCTTTCCATTACCACTTGTATTTTCGACTTTAGAAAGCATAACATCAGACACTGACGTAGTGGGAGCAGAGTATTCATTATTGACATCTTCATATGTAATGCATACATCTTTAGCAGTTTGAAACGTACAAGAGGGAATCTGAATTAACTCTTTCTCTAATTTAGGAATGTTGATTCCAGCAATTAGACGATCACGTAGTTGTGTATGCAGCTGATCTCCAAAATTACACTTTGAGGCTTGAATTTTGAGTTGAAGAATGAAGTCTCTAATCTTCTGATTGGGAGAACGTACCAGTTTGTTGAAGTGAGCCCTCTCTCTGGTCTCAAAAGTAGTTACATGGAAGTGATCTATAAGAAGTTCACGGAGCTTAGCATATGGCATAGAAATGGGTTTATCTGGAAACGCCAGATTCTTCACCAGGCTATATGCATCAAGACCAATAGCGGTGATGAAATGAGCAGGTATTTTATCATCCCGAACATTCTTGGAAATGCACCACGCATCAAAGCATTCCAAATAATCAGCAATCTCTCGCGGAGAACCATTAAGAGGAAATTTTCCCAGGTTACTTAGCTCCATCGCGACGCCAATTTGTAGTAATTTATTGTACTTGAAATATTAATATACCGGGATGACGGAATTATAAGAATCTAAACAAAACCCAGAGAGGGCAGCAATCAGTAATTTGTATTTAGCGGAATTAGAATGCAATTCATATAAGAAACATATCAACAGTCAACAGTAAGTATTTAAACAATACAGAGATAGAAATTGTCAATCACCACAGGTACTAAATCACTCTCGGACTCATGCCCAACCCGTCGATTCCCGCTCAAGGGCGTAGTGTCTGATGTTACTTCAGTGTATGTTCAGTCCATTTCTTCCTACCTATTTGTTGGGGAATAGGTTATTGGTTGGCCCACTGACTGCTAGAGTCCCTTGTTGCTTTTCTGTCCTTTTTAGCTTGTCATCTTCAGTACTGCTCTAATATACTAAGACACATATCATTAATCCATGAATTTCGTAACGGTGTAGATTTGAATTATAATGTTTAGACAGTGTGGCTGCGGTTTATGAAATACTAAGAATCACTGTTAGTAAGGTGATTTTAAAATTGTCCTCAATAGCGCGGATTTTATCCGCTTCCTGAAACTTCTCAGTGATCTTAATTTAATCATTCTTCCTAGTGTACTTTTTTCCGCTATAGTCTCATTAAATTTCCTTCCACAACCTTCATATGTATGCTTCATCCGAATCGTGTTCATTTAAGATTATTCACTTTGATATTATCAAGTTAGTTTTGAGAAGGGATCTCTCACGTAGTTTCCCACAGGGTGAAGTTATTATTATTATTATTGAAACACGCACCAAGACGTGAGCCACACAAAGTCGTATAGTTTGTGCGAAGGCTGGGACACTGCTTGGATGCTCAGACCGAAGCTGGTGACTATCTTAAGGGGACACTCACGAGTTACTGACTTGTGGTTTGATCAACAAGGCAGCAGAACAGCCTCAGGAGATACATTCCAATGGTTTCCGGTGACCAAAACAAGTTCATGTGCCACTTGGTTCGTTCAGATT